TTTTGATTCATTTCCTTCCTTAGGTATCAACTGGTGCCTACAAACGTCAAGTCCATGAGGTGCCACTAGGAAAGCAAGTGACAGATACAGCGTTTATTGGAAAGATCACCTGGGCTACCTGGACAAGGTGATGTAGCACAAAACGCTAAGCAAAGACCATAAACCTACACCATCAGATCAGAATAGGGAGAGGCTACTTAGGCCATTGAGTCTGATCATCTGCTTCAGGTTGGCATCCAAATGAATCAATTCCTGACAGATGGTTGTCTGTCTTCCTCTAGAGCACATCCCTTAAAGGGGAGACTGCTACCTCTTCAGAGATGAAAAAAAGTCAGAAGTCTATGACAAGAATGCAGATTAATGAGCAGATAGTGAGAGACTAATCCACTTAGAATAGTGGCCCTTAGAAAATGGCTCTTTTTTGAATTTTAACATTCCACTTCATTCAACAGCATTCGAAGTATGTTATACTTTTTTATATATCCTATACTCCCAAAGACATTTTACTGCCACGTCTTCACTAATTAGTTGATTTTTCTCCTTTGGAGCAGCATCCTTGGGGATGAAGTCATTGGTATTTGGCCCCGAAACGCAGATAAGGCAGATGTCAACTGTGCCTGTGTGACCCATGCTGGCTTGAACATTGTCTCTGGAGATGACTTTGGGCTAGTCAAACTCTTTGATTTTCCATGTACTGAAAAATTTGTAAGTGAGCTTGTTTTGCCTTTTTGGTATATGTTTGTCAGCGTTCCTTACCTTGATAAATGTTTGGTTGATCGGTAGCTGAGATCAGCCTGTATCTTCTGGTGGCAAGGAGATATGGTTGGCTGTTTGTGAGTGAAGCAACATTGTGTTCAGTGACAGAAAGTGTTTCTTTTCTTGACAGGCCAAACATAAACGTTACTTTGGTCATTCTGCACATGTCACCAACATACGTTTTTCTCATGATGACATGTATGTTATCAGCACAGGAGGAGATGACTGTAGGTAAGGTTTTGCATTGTGTAACATTTAGTTGGTTAAATGGTGTGGTTGCTGATTTTGAGTTCAAATGGGAGGAAGCCAAACTCATTTTATTAAGCTGCAATAGATGCTTAAAGTTCAGTTAAGGAATTCTGTTTGGTGCAGGCACACACATTTGACACTATCATATTATGGTCTTTGCAAATAATATCTCTGTATGGCAATGGTAGGAAATTAATTCTTATTAGTTGACATTTCTTGTTTTAAATGTGGTGGAATATGGGGGTGGATGGGTGGAGAACAAGCTTGCAGTACAATTTTAGCCACATCTGTTGTTTATTTGTAATAACATGTTATTTTTTCTTCTTCAGTGTATTTGTATGGCGATGTCTTTAAAGGTCACAACTCTCCAGGATCATTCTTGCCACCACTGCCATTTGAGTGCCAAACAGTAAATGCATGGAAACCGTTCAAGATCTCAACATGGCTGGGATTACGAACTGTTTATTTATTTATGAAAGACACAATTAAACTATGTAATACATCCCCAAATATATGCAACCATGGGGAAATCAAATATTACATAATTTGGTATTGACTTTAAATTATTCTTATATATACTAAAATCTGTCTTGCCAAATTAAATATTCAGGAATACAATGCCAAGACCAGGGTCTCAAACTCAAATTGTCACAAGTGCCATGTGAGTCTTAGCCTGATGGCCACAAGACTGAAACCTTTCTGTGCATGAATTCAGTCCAAAATGAAAAGTACCACGTCATGTAACATAATATATTGTGCTCTTAAATCAAACTTTATTACAAAGCAAAGCTACTTGCAAGGCAGCCATTTTGGCCATTTGGCTGGCAGCATTTTCCATTAACTATAATACCAATATCTGGTTTTATTACATGATGTATAGTTTTTTCTAAATCCCATTAAGAACAATACTGGCTAGGGCTAGTCCCATTCCACTATAAGCTTAAGGTTTAAAGGTTTCCCCTGCCCAGTCATGACTGACTCAAAGGGGCGGTGCTCATCTTCGATTCTTAGCTGAGGGAACCTGCATTGTCTGAGACACTTTCATCATGTGGCCAGCATGAAAATATGGAACACAGTAACCTTTGTGCTGAAGCAGGACCTATTTATCTATTTTATCTACTCTCATTTGCATGCTTTCAAACAGCTAAGTTGGCAGGAGTTGGAGTGAGTAATGGGAGCTCATCCCATTGTGCAAGCTCGGGTCTCAAACCCAGGTTGTCGGCTTTCCAGCTGACAAGCCCAGTGTTTTAGCCCCTGAGCCATCATGCCCCCTCCCGTCCCATTAAGAGCAGTCAAAATCCTGCTTTTCTTCTTATTGAGCAGGCTTCTCTTTCAGACTTCTCCTTATTCACTTTTGTCCTCTTGCCTGTTCTTATCACTTGCCAAGCTCTCCTCCATTTGTTGGTTGATGCCTTGCTTGGCATAGGAATGCTCACAGCAAGGCAGCCAGGCTAGGCCAGGCCTTCTCCAACCTTCTCCATTTCAGCCGCAGCTCCATCTCTGGGGCTCTGCTTGGATATCTCAGTGCTGCCTCAGAGCGTGTGTTCTTGGAGGGGGTGCTGCCAGTGCAATAGGCACTGGAGCACAGACTGCACAGCCCAACCAACCAGGCCCAGCTGTTGCCAAGAGAACTATAAGATTGGTTTGAAATGAGTCGCTTTGGTGCCTGCATGTAGATATCTGTACATAAGCCCCTGACTTCAGTCGCCACAAGATCTTAAGTAATGGACCACACCAAATTATTTCAAGGGCCATGAATTTGGGTCCCCTGACTCAGTCTATTGTAGAGATAAGGCTTCAACAGTCTATTTAAAAAAATGAAAGACTTCAATGTGAAAATAGTGAAGACAAGCTTCCTTATTTCTTAAACTTGTTCCATCATTCCTAAAGCATATTAGGGACAGGATATACTATGATAAAAGCAGGCTTTGGTTTGTGGCTGGTTTTATTTAAAAAATGAACTAATTAGCAATGCTTTCTCCCCTCTTCCATTAAGTGTATTAGATGAAATTCTTTTTGCCATTTTTCTACAAAGTGCCTTTTGAAAACTTCAGATACTGCAGGACGTTATCTCCTGCCATTGCCTATTTTCTGCTCATGGTGCTAAAATCTACAAACTGACGAGGGCTGACAAAGTCACTTTTTCCCCTAAATGTTTATTCTTTTATTTATTTTGACTAAATTTCAGCCTTCTCTCTTAATATCAACAGCAAAGAGTAAAGGTACAAGGCAGAAATTAAAAATAATGGTCAGTCAGTTTGACACTACATTTGGAAATTAGGACTTCAGAGAAGTGGTAGAATGAAATGAAAAATGAATAAATACCCTTCCTTTCCTTCCCATTTGAGGTACATTTTTCAATACCTTTTATCCAGTCAAGCAATAGCCAAGATGGCATTTTAACTTCAAGGGAAAAAAGTCCTCTTTCCTTCATGAAGTTGTTCAAGGGCATTTGTTTTACACAATCCAGTGATAAATTGGCAACCATACACATTTGTGATGGTAGGGGACCATTTAACTGTAGAACTTGAGCTTATTGCAATTGCTGAAGCCTGCGCTTTTTCAGTGGCTAATGATCAGGATGATTATACTTTTACCTTCAATATCATAGGCAACATGCCTCACACTTGAATGCAAGTACTGATGGTCACAGGCAGGAATGTACTATTAAGATTATGTCCTGCTTGTGGGCTTCCCAAAGGCCATGGGAGATAGATTGCTGGACTAAGGTGGCTTTTGATTCTTGTCCAGCACAACTCTTACTTTCTGTAACTCATGAAGTGGAACAATCCTAGATTCAGTTCTTTGTAGCATTAGTTTATTTCACAATCAGTAGCGAGGTGAAAAAAATGAGAAATGTCCTAGTCTGCATTGAAGATTAGAGGAGTCATGTTGAAGATATTAAAAGGTTATTTAAAAAGGTACAAATTCCTTTTAGAACTGAAGAAAAAAAGGGAGGGGCATGTTTCTGATATAATAATCAATGTATACAACACAAAAGTGCTTTTGTAAATTTAATGGACTGCTGTGTGTGTTATTTGATTAATGCAATGTGTTAATGCCTTATACTCCTTTATTTCATACATATGTCCTATGCAGTCTTATTCCTTTATTCTTCATAAGGAAAGTTTCCCATTTTAGCCAATGTAACCATATCCATCTGTGATGTCAGGTGGTCACCTTGTTTGCCTCTGTTGTAATACTGGCCTTTCATATGGAGTGCATCTTGAATCTGTAACAGAATGAGCTGCTGTATAGTCAAATTGTGCAAGAAAATTGAAGATGAATAATATATTTGTGTGTGGAAGAAATCTTGTTTATATCATTTAGAACTTTATGCTTAAATTTGATGCTGTATTATAATGTAAATTGAAATAGTACTGCATGAATTTATTTTTGAAATGATTCAGTAAAAGTTTTATTATTTGAAAACCGATGCCAGATTTTCTTTGGGAACATCCAGCATACTGGAAAGAACAGTATGCTTCTTGTGGAAAAGAGCAAAATATTAGTGGTTGACTTATTCCAGGGCAAAGCTTTTAAAATACCTTAATATTCTACCATTTTTTTATCATAGTCTTAAGCAAATGTATTCCTTAGAATTGTTATTAAAAAGACCGGCATGATAGTAATATTAGATATATTACATTTAATATAGTTAGAACATGTTCCCCAAGTTGATACAATTGCATCATGTAAAACTGCATTTAGTTTGCTGCTTCATTTTGGTTGGGATACTACATTTTGTGTGTCATACTAAGATCTATACACAACAAAATTCTGATTACTTTTCAGCAAAATCCATTGAAAATTAAGATGGTACTAAACTAGAATATAACCATGGCATCAAGCAGTAAGGTGCATATGCATAAGTCAACCACATCAACAAAATTCCTAATGTTGGGTATAAATCAATCATTTTTAGTAATAATTGTTCAGACGCTGAGTTGTGAAGCATGATGATTTAGCATGTTAAGTGCAATCACAGTTACACATATGAGTCCATACACTTTATTGATAACTCAAAATTGTTTTCTTTTTACATTTCACAATGCATCCCACAGACATAGTTCAATACAGCTTAAACCCCACATGTATTTGAAATGTCCAAATGGCATTTGCAGCATCGGGGTACAATCCACTGACCCATGCACAGATGCTGAGGATTCCAAGCATAATGGAAAACAAGCATGCCAGGGGCTCCTTGTTCTGCCTGCAAGGATCTGAGGATCACACCATCAGAAATTCATTCCACAGATTCAGAGTTTTGAGAACTGTAAACTTGTTTACTTAAAATAGACTATAGGAGTTTGTGCAGCAAAGGATATGGCAGAAACTGTAATGTGCAGAGTTGTTGTTTATTTAATAGGTACTAGGTTTTTTCCTGAAAATTTAAGCTAATATATTAAGGAGCTCAAAAAACCCTCAGTTCATTTATCTAGTATTTCAATCACTATGGAGGAGCTGGACATCCTAAGCAGTTGTGACACACTATATATTTCATTTTATATTGGCAATTGATAAAATAGTAGAATTAAAAGCACAGTACAGCTAAACTTGATACCAACAAGGCAAGACTTTTCAAGCTTGCTTTAATGGCATATTCTAAACATTTCATTTTAGAAAATCTGCAATCAATCAACACAAACCAGAGACAGTGCTAAAGGAAATGTTTTCCATACACTAGCCCCTCTTGAAACACGACAAGACTATCTTGGCCAAAGCATAAAATGTACAGCTCTCCAAATGGTTAGATTAACCTGTGCTGCATATGGGAGAAGCAAAGAGGATTAGGTTTAAATCCATATGTAGCAGCTTACAATACTTAGGATGGACATACACACAGCAGTCAAGAACAGGTTATTTTCCTCTCTCTGAAACACTGTTCCTAAAAAATAAAGATCTGTGAAATTGCACTGCAATGTCAAGGCTTGCTATTCCCTGACCCTCCCCATATAATCCAAATGAATATGCCTCCCATCCCCACTTAAAAGTTGATTTGTTTTAATAAAAGTTGGTTCTTGATTTCATTCAGTTTTACGCTTCAGTCCAGGAATTTTAGCTTGAACCCTGTAGGGGAAAAAAACTTAGGTTTCAAAAAAGTCACACCTTGTTTTCCAAGAAAAGCCAACTGCTCACAATCTAATGCATTAATTATCCACCAGTCTTAAAAGTGTGCAAACACTTCAAAATGCTGTATGTGTCACAGAAGTACTCTGTATCTCCTGTTCCCAACTTAAACTGACTGTGAATTAAATGGATCCAGACATATCAGGTGAACATGGTCACTTATCACTATATATGAACATACTTATTATTTTACAGTCATGTCTACGGCTTGGTTTGGAAGTTACTTTGGAAACTACAGGTGGTCCTGGAGTTGCAACCATTTGCTCAATAACCATTCAAAGTTGCAATGGAGCTGAACGAGTGGTACTTGCAACACTCCCTGAAGTTCCAGCCATCGTAGCATCACTATGGTCACTTGATTGCAATTTGGGCACTTAGCAACTGGCTTGCACTTACACTGGTTGTAGTGTCCTGTAACCTTCCCTCCTGTCCACAGCAAAGTCAATGAGGAAGCCAGAAGGGAATGTTGCAAGTCATTCCCACCTTTTCTCCAAAGAAGCCCTGTTACTGAGTAAGAGATCTCAGGGAATTCCTACTCCATAGCACCACTAGCTGGCCTCGATAGTGTGCATCCACCCACAGCACCCCCACTTGCCAATGTCCCCCTGTCATCCACAACTATGTAGCACCTATTCATGGCCACATCCAAATGCTCCCCCCACCTGCATCCATGGCGCACCTCCAAATGCACCCTTCCTCGGTTCTTGCGTGGGGCTCCTACCTCTTCCTGCTTAGCAAATGGGTTGTCATTGCTAAGCCATGTGATCATATGATGTTGCTCTTTATGACCACGTTGTTTTGCAATGAAAATTCTGGTTCTAATTTGCCACTGTAACCTGTGGACTACCTGTAGCTACAAGTATGCAGTAAACTTACTTTGCCATTCCATCTTTCACATTCTTGTTTACAAGTTCCACATAATGGTCAATTTGAGTCTGAAATACAAGTTAAAAAATCATTTCAATTACTTGGTTTCTACATCATGAAAAACCATAATGCAGTTAGCATCACATTAAGACAAAATCAAGCAAACCACAAGAAGTTACACAAGTGGAAACAATACAACATTTGGGGTGCCCTTGAGTCAATCTTGATTTCTGGTAACCATCTGGGCTGTCCCTGCACTTTTCTTGGAAACATTTTCATCAGTGTTATGCCACTGCCTCCTTTCTAGGCTAGGAAAGAATGACTGGTCCAAAGTCACCCAGATAGCCTTATGCATAAGCTGGAACCAGAACAGTCTCCCAATTTCTAGCCTTATGCCTTAACCACTACACCAGAGTGGATCTCCACTTCATCTACCAAAGACTGAGGTGTAAGCCCTAGAATAGATTTAGGATAGTTATCTCAATACATTATCCACAAAGGAAAAATAGCTGAGCCCACTCCTACTGCAAACCTTGAACTCCCAAAAATTATGGATTCCTGGTCATTAGGTTTATCACACCTGCTTAGTTTATTCAATCCCAATCATTCACATTTGAAGTCTAGCATATTAATTAATTCTTGGTTGCACAAAAACTGTGCTGTTTTGTCATTTGAAAAATACTGAATAAGCAGGAGATTTCCAAAGAAAAACTGATAGCTATTTCATCAGCCTTTTCTATTTTAGAAGCAAGAAATTGTGATATTTTAACTACTTTTTATTTAGCATTTGTACAAAAATATTTAAGTTTATGACTGTGCAAAATCTTGTTATATACATTTGAAATAATGCTTGAAGATATTTCCATTTCTATCATATATAGAGGAAGCCATTTTTATTGAAAAAACAAGGATTCTTGGGGGGAAAGTATTCTTTCTCCTATCATGTAAAGTTCTGAGGTAAAACATGTCAACTAGTTACAAAATACTTTAACTTCACATCAGAGGAGCGCTGTCAATTCTCAGATATAATAAACTATAATGTAAAGAAGGGATTCCTAATGTTGAAAGATGAAATCCAAACCAGATGACTTTTCCAAATGATTCAAGCTATTCTCAAATTAAAGGAATATGGCCTCTTTACTTTTAATATCAATCCTAGGGCTGCCACATCTGAGGCACAAAAGTCAGAATGACCACTAGATACCGTGTTTCCCTGAAAATAAGACCTTGTCTTGTTTTTTTAAAAAACCCTGAAATAAGCGCTTGGCCTTATTGCCATGGGCTCAAAAGCACGATTGGGCTTATTATCAGGGGATGTCTTAATTTGGAGAAAACAGGGTAATAGCAATGGGTTACGGTTTATTAGTGGTTTATAATAGTGGTTGCTTGGATTTCTGCAGCCCAGATAGGATAATCCTATTTAACCTTTCATGTCTTACTTAACTCTTGCTAAAGCTAGAACAGTAGTGCAGGCATTGTTCTTAGAGGCCACTGTAGAATAGTAGATGCCACTGTCTCTAGAATCCTCTTCATCTTTTCATACACAATATATTCTTTGTATCCTTATTAAGCTAGTTATTTTATTATCATATTACCAATAAACATGCCACAACTGCATACTCACCTGGTGCTTCTCATAAATAACAGGAATACTGAAAAGTGATATCAGCGCTGGAAGAACAGAAATACATTTAAACTTAACAGTATGAAAAACACCTGAAAGTTATCACAAACTGGCACAAGATAATGTACATAGATGAAGTATTAATCATAGCTGTAACTACAGATAAGACACTTGTGTGAAAAAGTATGTATACCCTGTATCAATATTTTATCTTCACTCAAAATGGACTTTCAATAATTTATTCAACAAAAATTAACATGAATGCCATTTCCTTTTGAGAAAAAGGAGGAGCACTCTTGGCTCCAATACAACAAACTCAAATAAGTGTTCGTAATAACTGTCTACATATATCTGACACCAACCAGGAGGAATTTTCTTCCACTCCTCCATGCAAAAAATTTTTTCAGCTGTGTAGTATTTGAGGCGTTCCTTGCATGCAGAGCCTGTCCCCCATGGCATCTTGGGGGATTTAGATATGGGTTTGACTTGGCTATTCCAAAACCCTCCATTTCTTTTCAGCCATTCATTTATGGGTGGATTTACTGGAATGCTTAGCCTCATTACCATATTGATTTTTGGAAAAGGTCCAATATTTTAATGGGGTGTACTTATTTTTTCAGAAAACAAAAAACAGATATATACATAACAGTCACTATGTTCACCAAAAGTTGATGTGCTTCTGGAGTCTGCATTTTTCCTTTTCATACAGATTGTATCCTTTCCTTACAACAACTTTTGGAAGCCCAGGACATCATCATATGATGGCAGAGCACCAATAATGATTGGTTTCAGTTATTTTTCCTTAAATCTCTAAAGTGTTACAAGTACTTTCATGGGATTTCAGGTTTCAATTTCAAAATCTAACAAAATTTTAGCATCTTCACTTGAGATCTCAGGACCTGGCAACCTTATACAATTTCAGTTTTGTTTTGTTTTTTTATTATGGTTTTTAGGTGTTGCCCATGAGTGCTGTTTTGCTGATTCAGATTATCTTTAATTATTACACATCGTCCTCATTTAGCAATTGCAATTGGACTGGCAACTCAGTCATTAAGTGAAGTGGTTGCTGTACTTAACATTTTACTTCAGCTTTCCCTTGCTTTAAGGCAGGTTTGATTCCAAACAGCTAGGTGACCGTGAGCCCAAATGGTGGGAAGATTTCCAGAATTTGTCTCATGAGAAAAAACAGGTAAAAGAGCAAATCTTACAGCTCTTTGGAATGCATACCCTGATGCTTGAATAATTAGCAAGGGGATTAATCTTTGTATTTACATTTATTGGAGAGGAAGGGATTACAAGAGAGTTAAGTAGATACCCAATTGTGAACATGCGTTGAAAGGATTGTGTTAGTGCCAGTTCTTTGCCTACTGCTCTTGCGCTCCATGGGTCCCCAAGGAGGCAAAAAAAGTCTTCAGGGTGAAACTGATTAGGGTTTTGCCAGGCAGCAGCAGGAGCCTATGTAATTAACATCACAGAACTCAGCTTGTTACAACCACAAAAATTTACAACCACAACTGAGCCCAGAATTTCAGTCGTAAATTGTGGTGGTGGCCAAGTGAGATGCCAGATGACCACTCTGCTCAATGACCACAATCCCAGCTCTTCCCGTTGTGGTCACTAGACAACCACAAAGGAAGATAGAGCAAAACAGCTATCTGCTGAAGGAGGGCAGACAGCACTCCTGAGTTTGCTAAGTGAACTCCAGCACTAGACTGAAAAAAAAAATTCAGATCTTCATGATCCAAGTTCCCAGTATCAGAGATCCCTTCCCCTCCATGCACAGAAAGGTTGGCCCCAAAATCCAAGCAGGATTTTGTAATGGAACATTTGCAACATGGGACATTTGAAGCCAGGCTGGTTGCAAACATTCTGTGCCAGAATCCTGCTTGGCTTTCAGAATGGACCTTTTCAGATAGCCTCCTTGACAGCAAAACAGTGTAACAACTGTAACTTTGGGCATGTGTCATAAGTCCCATTTTTCTTTGCTATTGCATTTTTAGTCACTGACTGATTGGTAGTTAAGCAAGGACTGCCTGTAGCTTGTCTAACACTTTTTAGGGATGCACTGTACTATGAAGAATAGCAGCTCAGAAACAGATAAACTGGTTTCGGCAATCTCAATAGTGGTGGGTAAGGGGGGGGGGAATGAGTCTGACACAGGACAACCAGTACTGACTGCAATGACAAATGCATGATTGAGAAAAACTCTTTCTCATTTGAAAATATGGGCATTGCTTGCAGTTACTTTTTCAGCAGTGCCATAACTGCATTGCTGTCCAAGGCAGTTGCCAAACAAGGATTATCTGTAACAATGTTTTAATTTAGAGATTTCCCTATTAACTTCCTAGAGTTTAGTAGGCTCATCAGCCATCAGAATTATCATGTGATTTATTAATAATAGTTTAATTTTGTTTTCTGTAATTAAAAAAGGCAAACTCACCTAGTATCAGCAATGTCAAACCATTGAACAAGGCACCAACATAGGTAAACACCCACATCAATACTGCAAACTGAAAGAAAAAAAAATTAATGAAACTACACCATATGTAATATCTGCTTAAAGCTCAAAGCAATTCTGTCACTTGACTATATTAGCAGTACAAACATAAGGTGCTTTGGTGGGCTGCAAGCTATACCAACTCAGAAATTTCCTAACTTGGTATAAATAATACATTATACAATTCTGGTGTCAGCATTCCTAGTAACGCACCCAAGGAAGTCAGCATTCCGAGTAACACATCCAAGGCAGGAACGTTCCTCAGAGAACATGTTTATTAGACACATCATATTGGCACAGCTAGTGAAAACCAACTCTGAAGTTTCCCGCGCTAATAGCATAATTAAAGTGTAACCATTTCCCTCCCCAATTGTCCCAAGTCAGATTGTCCAATTAAAACAATCGGGGGCTCCTCGGTCATTCCTCTCCTTCAACTGCCACCTGTTGGGATGATCTTGGTTCCCATGGGAAGGCTCGTTGTTATGTCTGAAGACAGTCTATCTACTCCCCCACCCCTTTGAGCGTGTGGCAACTATGAAGCAGCAAAAGATGGCTTCAGCCAAGTTCGATTCAGAGTTGACACCTGGTTTACCTCCCAGTGTATTTTGATACAGTCAGGTCCGTAAAGGTCCATATTTAAATATATTTGATGCAAAAGCTCACATCTTTTGTTTCTTTGTCTTTTAATTCCATATAGAACAAGTTGGAAAAAACCATAAACAGCAGAACTGCTTGCTTAGTTTGCCACAGAGCCAGTTTCACATTTTAGATTGTCTTGAGCATAGCTGGGTGATACTTTTTTCAGGACTAGTCAGATTAGTTATTATACAAGAGTTAGCTTGGTTCTACTTACTGTCAGATGGCTCCTCAAGTCAATCTGTTTCTCCATCTTATACAATTCTTAAGCTAAGAGGGGAAATGAAATCTTTTACCTTTAGAGAATCCACCAAATCATCCACTAGGAAGAGGCGCCTGAGTTCCTTAATTGTGCTGTTGAGATGACCAAGCACAACATGGCTGTATTTTTGAACAAGCTCCTCAGACACAGCGACATCTCTTTTCAAGTAAGCACTGGAAGAGGAAATATGTTAATTTCAATACAATTAAAAACAGTTTTTAAGCTCTCCAAATTCTCAATCAGAGCACAATGAAAATGAAGAAAAGGTTACATTATCAAAGAATTGTTCAGATGAAGAAGCCTTTAGAACATGCCCCTAATAAATCATTCAAAACAGTTAAATTGCACTATTTAAAATCTCAGTGTTTATTTCCAGTAACTGACATATGTATGATAGTAAGCCTGACCAATTAACAATGGCTGACAAAGGGGAAGCAATTTTTTTTATCCATTAATGGGAAACTTAACAATTGAAATAATCTTAATCAAAACAAAAAATTAAAAATACAGCATTAAAGCTAAAAAAGAACTTTTTAAAAAGTATGCACATATGTACTTAGCATGTTTGTACACACAAAAGTTATCAGTTAGAACTTTTAAATAACAATGATGCCCCAACTCCATGCAAAAAAAAACTCCACCATTTTTATTATCCATTTTTGTAAGAACAATATTAAAGTTGTTAAAGATATCTCTTCCTATCCCTTATTTATAAGCAGATCCATAAAACATCAAGTTTTCAATCTGGTGTCAGCAAAAAGCCCATAAAGATGTCTATGGCAATTCTCAGTCATCCAGGTCATGGTTGTCCCAAAATAGCTTTTTTAAAAGGCAACTGGATTTTCTGGTTTTTCTTCGAAGACGTTTTGCTTCTCATCCAAGAAGCTTCTGAAACTTATGGAAGTTCATAAAGAGTTGCCAGAACTTGAGGGGAGGGGAGGGGGGGCCTCTTATTTGGTCAAATAAAGCAATTATACATTTGTTCCTTTTACTTCCATGTCTTAATTTTTAATTCAATGAACTATTGTCATAGGATTTGATTTCCCTTCAATTCCTCTATATCCCATCACTCCGAAGTCTCAAGGATTTAAACAGAAAACATTTTCTGTTTAAAGTAGATACAATAAGAAAAATATTTTCCAGTTCCTCTTTAATTTTTAAAACTTCAACCAGTTTCTTTTCTATATCCAATAAGCATTCTTTTACAAATCAAATTTTTGGCCTGTCATTTGTACTTCCATATTAGGTACTTCATCTTGTCATATAAAATTTGCTCTACCTCTGTGATTTCCTCATTAATATCTTTGGGACATAATCTATCCATAGAATCAGACATCATTACTGACAATGTTGATATTGTAACTAGTAATTTCTGGCTCTATTCCACAAGGATCTCCTTTAATATTTCCAATGTTATGACAGTTTATGTTTTGTAAATTTCAGTATTAACTGACACAAAAAGTAGGCTTACATTTTTTCCCTACTTAGAATCTTCAGTCCTCTTTAGTGTCCAGTTTCTAAAATCACAAAGTTGCTTATCTTTGTTATAAGCCAAGATAGCCAAAATAATTTTGGTTCCCACACAGTTCTCCTTTTCTGGTCAGGTTTGAACTCAGTGTTGTTTGGTCTGCCAGAGTCGTTGACTGTGCCTTTGTGGAGATATTTTCAGCATTTTTCTGGAAGTTGCTAATATTTATTTATTTATTTATGTCTTCCAAAAAATTATCATTAAGCATGGCAACCAGATTGCATGTACCAATTTACTTATCTCTTATGCAATCTTGCTTAATTTACTGAACAAATCACTTTCAAAATAAACGGGCAATTTTCATTTTTACTACGCAATGATATGAAAAAGCCTACCGAAATAATGCCCTCCCACTTATATAATATGCTACATTAGGGTAAAATGTATTTGGATCATATATGATTCATACATCTTGAGAAATTAGCCAATGTCTTCGCATATTGTATGAACCAGACCATAATATAGTTCATATGAACACCACAGGGAGATCTAAGGCCTCTTTCTCTAGTTTTCTGGCTGAAAATTCACCAGTTGATTGGAAATCCAGTTACATAATATTGGACGTAGTCCAGAGTTCAAAGCAAGCTGTCTACTTTTCCAACTTCGTATTATTAAAAAAAACCTCAAAGGCTATTTAGTTTCCATTCTACAGCATATATAATTAATTATAAATAGGGAAAAGTACAAATATTTACCTAAACGGATGGCCTTCATCTGACTTCTGGACTGCTTGGATAACTCCTTTGTATATTCTAAAACTGATGGTCCCTGACAGGAGGGCCAAGCCAATATAAGCTATCACACTCACGATACTGAACACTGTTAAAGAAAGAAGCAGGAACAAGCTGGCTCCAAACACCACACCAGTCTTCTTAACGTCTCGCCAGTATAGGAGGTCAACCACTAAGAGAAAGTTAAAGGACAGGAGATTAGAATGCAGTCTCTAATACTACAGCATAGCAATGAAACCTGAATGTGTTATTAACTGAAATGTAACAATAACAAATATACATGCACATACACACACACTTTATTCATGCATTAAAATTTGTACAATATTTTCCAAGTATGATAACCAGAAAATGATAATCTGAGAAATGTGAAGCCATTTGGTTTGTTTCCTTCATACCTTGCTGAAATAAAAGAGAATAATCAAACACCATATTTGCTATCTATATCAGGAATACAAATGTTTACTCAACTAATTTTTTAAAAATTGAGATCTAAAATAGCATCCATGGAAACCTGCCTCACTTTATCTTGCACGTAACACACAATGGCATATTGTAAATCACTAGCCTCTGTTATCACTTTGACTTCCCAGAATGCACTTGATCCCACCAAATAGACTCCATAAACTTTCTTAGAAAATGAAAATGATGTGAAGCATGCCTAATTTGCCCAGAAAAAAAAAACATGCTGCAGACAGGATATAGAGACAGAATTCTGGTAAACAAACTACAAAGAGCCAGTTTGGTTTAATGATGAAGGCAACAGGCTAGAAAACAGGAGACTATTCTAATCCCGCTTTAGCAATGAAACCCAACTGGGTGACATATGGGTCAGTCACTCTCTCTCAGTCCAACCCACCTAATAGGGTTGTTGTGGGAAAAATGGGAGGAGGAAGGTGTCGAGTATATTTGCCGCTTTGAGTTATTTGTAGAAAGTAATAAAAGTGGGATACAAACAATCAAATAAATAATGGCTTCCAATTTCTGAATGAGCAAGCACCTCTCTGGGCCACCAGCTTTGTGAGCAACTACATCTTGTTTGCAAAATTGTGTATGTGCTCACCAGCATCTGGAGACCTTTATTTAGGAAAAGAATGCTTAAATTCTAAAAGAACATTAACCTGCTTCTCCATGATTTGTGAAAGGCACTAGCAACATTGCAGTATTCCCAGAAAATGTGGAACTACAAAAATGCTGCTGATGATAACAAGGCTGTTTCTTTTTTCTCATTAATATCATTTGATCAAGGCAAACTCACAATGAAGGCTGTATTAGATAATAAATGTTGGAAACATTACATATAGGCAACAGTATACAAAATATATTAAAGTCAATAATGTCAATTAAGTTTTGGTCTTTTTCCTAAAGCATAGACATATTGACAATTGCTTATCTTGCTGAGTATTCTAGTTCTTCTATTTTTGCTGTTTAACTTCATAATCATTTATTTTATTTCTTTATAAAAAAACAACCCTAAAGGGCAAATTTCAGCATGTATGGTGCACACTTTATTTTTTTTTTTTTTTTTTTATTGTAAAAGTTTTACAATTACATTTTCACCCCGTTTTCACCCCCCTAACCCACCCCAAACTCCCCATCCCATCCTCCCTAACCCCCCCTATCCCTCCCCTCCCCCCCGGACTTCCATAGAGTATTCCCCATCATTATCCCCTTTATATAAAAAAAAACCCCTTGAACTTTAAACCCCCCCAACCCCCATATCATTTTTCATCTTCACATAGTTCAAATATTTCTATCTTAATGTAATATAATACTATCAATAAAAAGCTATTTGATACTTCCTAGTTTGATATTTGTTCTGCACATAATCTATCCATTTTTTCCATTCACATTCATAAGTCTCTTGTGAGCGGTCTTTTAAATATGCTGAAATCTTCGCCATCTCAGCGAAACTGGCCATCTTCAAAGTCCATTCTTGAACGGTGGGCAAAGCTGCATTTTTCCAATATTTACCTATCAACAATCTCGCTGCTGTAATCATATACAAAATCAACTTTGTTTCATCCACTGTAAAACCCTTAGCTATACCCAATAAAAACAATTGTGGAGAAAATTGAATTTTTTTCTTCAAAACATTCTGCATAACCCACCAAATTTTTATCCAAAAAGCCTTAACTTTCTTACAGGTCCACCAAATATGAAAATATGTAGCATCTGTACAATCACACCTCCAACATTTTGGCTGAACATTAGGATACATACACGACAATTTCTTAGGGTCTAGATGCCATCTATAAAACATTTTGTAAAAATTTTCCCTCAAATTCTGCGACTGTGTAAATTTAACATTCTGGACCCAAATTTTTTCCCATGTTTCCAACTTCACTGGTTCTTCAAAATTTTGTGCCCACTTAATCATACAGTCTTTAACTAATTCAGTTTCTGAATCCCTTTCTAGCAAAACATTATAAAGCCTTTTAATATGCATTGGACCTTTCTCTCTTATATGTCTAACCAATTCTTCCTCATGCAACATAATACCAATTTTTTGGTCCTCTTTCCATCTCAATTGTAATTGATTATATTGTAACCAAGTTAAATTAATCCCTTCGTCCAACAGTGTCTGCAAATTCTTCAACTGCCATCTGCCCGCATCTGTAAAAAGAACCTCTTTGTATAAAAACCCCCCGAGTGACATTATATTTGTATTCCACAAAGTATGACCAAGATCCAACCATAGCGGTATTTTATAATCCCATTTGAATCGGTGCTTCTTCCAAACTCTCATCAAAGAGTCTCTAAGTATATGACTTTTAAATATTTTATCAACTTTGTCATCATAAAATAAGTAAGCGTGCCATCCAAATTCAAGATCAAAACTTTCTGCATTCAATATTCCAGCCTTTTTACTTCCAAACCAATCACTTGTTAAAGTTAAAGCTGCTGCATCATAATATAACTGTAGGTTTGGAAGTTTAAGACCTCCTCTTTCTGGAACATCTTGCATAATTTTCAATTTCACTCTCGGCTTCTTCTCGTTCCAGACAAACTTATTCACTCCAAATTGCCAAACTTTCAATTGTTTATCACTTTTGAGCACCGGAATCATTTGAAACAAAAAAAGAAATCTTGGCAAAATATTCATCTTAACTGCTGCTATTCTTCCAAGTAGAGACAGCTGCAGTTTTTTCCAAGTCTCCATATCTTTCTGCACCTCTCGCCACAACACCTCATAATTATTTTGAAACAATTTCATGTTTGATTCTGCAACCTGAACTCCTAGATATTTTACCTTAGGTACAATCTCAAAACCTGCCCTCCTTTCAAGCTCATGTTTGCGATCTTGTGTCATGTTTTTAACTATCATTTTAGTCTTTTTTGGATTCAATCTGAAACCTGAAACTTTACCATAATCTTGTATAATGTCCTTCATCAAGATTATTGATTCCATTGGTTGTGATAGGGTAACAACCAGATCATCTGCAAATGCCTTTATTCTGTAATCCTCTTGCCTAATCTTTATACCTTTCAAGATATTAAAGTCCCGTATTGTATTTAACAAGACTTCTAGTGTTAAGATAAATAAAAGTGGGGACAACGGACATCCCTGTCTTGTTCCTTTTTCAATTTTAAACTCTGTTGTCAAACTTCCATTAATAATAATCTGTGCCTTTTGCTCTTGATAAATTGCCGAGATCGCCTGTATAAATTGGTCCCCAAAGTCCATCTTTTTCAAAGTTTTTACTAGAAAATTCCAATCCACTCTATCAAAGGCCTTCTCTGCATCCAAAAAAACCAGCACTGCAGGGATCTGTTTATTCTTCTCAAGATATTCCAGTAAATTTATTACTTGCCTTACATTATCCTTCATATATCTGCCCTCGATAAATCCCGCTTGATCATCATGAATCACCTCTTGAATTACTGGCATCAATCTGTTGGCTAATACTTTTGCGTAAATTTTATAGTCATTATTTAAAAGAGATATTGGTCTATAATTTTCCGGTTTTTTAGGACCTACATGTTCTTTTGGTATCAAAGTAATATATGCTGATTTCCATGATGGGGGTATTTTACCCCCTTGTTGTATATTGCAAAATAAGTCTCTAAGTTGTTCCACCATTTCTGCTTGTAAAGTTTTATAATACACTGCAGTCAATCCATCTGTTCCAGGAGCTTTAGCTGTTTTCAATTGTTTAATTGCTGCAATTATTTCCTCAACTGTTATAGGATAGTTCATTCTTGGTGCACACTTTATTGAAAAACTAAAATTACATTTCATGTGGTATGTATGCATGCACATATTTTGTGTGTGTGTATGCTTTTTCTACTTTATACTCAACACTAAAACTTACAGGAAAGCTATTTTCAAATTCATGATGATATATAATTAAAATAATGTACCCTTAAGCTACATTTCAGAAAAAAGCATCATCTTTCATTTCAAAATGGAAGCTAAATGCACCTTTGAAAAATAAGACCTGCTTAGATTATTAGATTTTTACTGACTCAGAGGGAATTTTTTAAAATAAAAAATGCAAAACAACAAGAATTTCATTCCTTCAGGAGATAAGCAATCAGGCTTTCTCTGAAATAAAGCTAGCTAGCTACAGTTGATAAGTAAGAACAGTCATGTGGTATATTTAAAAATAGCACTGCTACAATAGTGCCTCACATTCATTGCTCATCTATTTAGCTTTTTTCACTTTTCAAAGAAGTGTCTTGGCAAAATATTGATCTCTTTATTGAAAACTTTAAAAAACTGACAACACTTGCAACTGCAATGCTATTACCTATCCCATTTCCCTTTGACTTAATATACACTTATACCCCTATGAAATCCCTTAACACTCAAAAGTTCATTTCACACAACTCAGAACCCCACATGCTCACCACTCCTGGCATCCATTTTAGGGCTGTTGCCTGTGCTTCTACAGTAGATTACCAAATCTTTCTACTTCCTGCTACGACACACAAAGGTCTTCCAATATATGCAGCTGCCTCACACCAACAGTGAGGAAACTCCAGACTACTAGAAAATATGTTAAAACTATTGTCCAATGGCTGATGCCATTTTAGAAACAAGCAAAGCAGAAACTGTGTATTCCTTTTCAAAAAGGAATCATACAATGCTCCCTATACAAGAGCCAGAACTATACAAGGTAAGCTGGAACAAATGTGAATTGTAATTCATGCATATGAAAAAATCCA